ATGAGTTTCGGTCTGTAGATTCGGATAGCAGGTAGGGCATCCGTGCCAATAGCATCCGTAAAATTCGTAGATGGTGCGAGTAGCTTCCTGGTATCCATCTACAGTATAAGTTCCGATCTTGACTTCTCCCCCGTTTCTAGCATGTCGTATGATAGATCCGCTCTGGTGACTCATCCAGGTTAGCCACCGACAGGCTTTGGCGGAATATTGACGCGCAGGCTGATACCCCATGTTGGGAATGATGGCAATGGTATCTTCGGGCATGAATCCTCGACGGTAAGCTAAATTGGCTGCACTGGCAAAAGTGATGGATTCCTGGAAGGGGTCTACATTGACCAAGGTCTTGAGGGTGGCTTTAAACTGAGCACAGCATCGTCGTAAAATATCGACGTCTGAAATACAATAGTCTAAAAATTCCTTCTGGAAATCAAACACTTTTCCGGCTTGTTGTTCGTACCATTGATAAAAAGCCTGTCGTCCACTTAGAGACATGTCGTCCGGATTGTAGAAAGCTGCCGCTGGATAAGGGCCCACATAATTCTGGTTCTGTTCTGTATTAAAAAAGTGAGGGAAATACCCTTTTTTCAGTTCCGTGAATCCGAAAGCAGAGGGCATCTTAGACAGAGCAATAGGTAAAAAATTATACGAGTCGATGAATTTCAATCCGCAGATTTGCATGGATAAGATTTTACTGCCGTTCATGATGACTGTAGGCTTCATGCAAGCGGAATGTACCAGGTAATTTAAAATGAACTGTCCGTCATATCCTTTGAAATTGTGGGCAATGATGATAGCCTCGTCGTGTAATAAGGCGGAATTCTTATTTCCTGTGTCGGGTTGTAATAACCAGTCCATGAAGTGTTTTAAGGTATCTGGCCCTTTAAACACGTGTTGACGGGGTCCCATATGTCGACAATGAGTACAGCGATCTTCTATGGGTAAGTGTCCGCAATGTTGACATACGCGGTGTGCCACACATAAATTAGGGACGTGGATGCCGTTTTCCTGTGTACATTCGAAATCAAAATAAATATAAAACTGTAATGTCTCTTTGCCTTTCTTTTTCTTTTTCTCAGGTTTGAGTTGAACGTAGCACTGATGATCCGTGTCTACAGTTTTCTTACAGATCTTACATTGTTTCTGTCCTCCGCAATGATGATGAGGGAGTAACATTTTAGGCATCCATTTCTCACAATGGTCGCATCGTCCCATTAAACTGCATACTGTTGTGGTTGTATTCTTACTGTGAGGTTGTAAATGGTTTTCGTAGCAAGTTCTGCTCTGAAAAAATCCCTGGCACTGGCTACATTGAATGTGGCTCCCGTCTGGAGGGCAGGAAGTGTCCGTTAAACAAAAGGAACATCGGTAAGGACACTTGGTACGATGGTCTGTGATGTTCCTGTAGCCCACATCGCAATGATCACAGTAATATGGGTTGCCGGTCACACCTGGCATAGACAAAATAGTATCGTAATGATGGTTGTCTAACAGAATGTTTAAACAAGTTCCATCTCCGCAGCCTTTGTAAAGGGGCTCTAAACTGAGTTTAGAGGAGGTGGACTTAAACTGAAATATTTTCAGTCGATAGCGAGGGGCTAACACCTGTTGTAATTTTCCCCATTCTTCGGGTCCACAAGGCTGATGAATATCACAGCCGGCTTGTTCCATGAGAGTTATAGCTTCATTTTTCTGGTCTAAATATTTGTAATCACCCTTCCGCATACGTAGCCATTGTTTTTCCCATTCAACTAAACTCTCTGGATTTTCCGGTTTTTCACTGTGTAACCGGGTGACTACGATGGCTCGAGCTAAACAAAATTTATCCCAAGGATTGTCGATCTGAACGATGCATCGTTTATTCTTCTTAAAACTCTCCTTGTTGACCATCAGGTGTTTGGTATTCTGTCCACCACTGCCTTCTGGATATTTGACGTGAAACATGTCGAATTCCATAGACCCGTCTCCCAGTTTAAAATCTTTCTTGGATTGTTGCACGGCTTCTATTTTGTTTAAAATGACGTCCTCGTTCAAATGTTTACATTGCGTAAACTCGTACCAAATGTCGGAATCCAGAGAAGGGTGGTGAATGTTCAGGCGTACATAATCGTTAGGGTTACACTGCATTTGATATTTGACATTTTGTAGCATGTCCATAAATAATCGCCGAACAAAGCCTCTGTTTTCCTCCTCGGGAAATTCTTTAAAATTCACACTGTACACATCTTCTTTAGCTTTAAATTTTCTGGAATGCTTAGCTTTATTGAGACTCACTTGGTAATACTGGGAAATGGTTTTTGGTTTCGGTGGCGGTGGTGAATGGGGTGGTGATGGGGATGGTTCTTCTTCTTCAGGTACATTCCTTAAAACTTGAAGGTGTTGAGCTCGGTTGGCTTTGGCTCTCTTTAATCTTTCCATTAATCTCGCATTTTTTTTCCTGAGAACTAATTCTCTGGTTCTCTGTCGAGAAATAATTCTTTCTAATTCTTTCTCCCGTTTTTTCCATCTCATAAGTTGTTGTGCATGTAACAATTGTTTCAAGGCACTATCAAAATTCATTTTGATAGATCTGACAACAAAATGAGCTGAAAGTCGGAGAAAAGCTGTATTTATAGAGTGTATGACGTCACAATGCATAGGTAGTTCGCTGATCCAAGACTAAGTATTGAGACGTACACAATACGTACAAAAGGGTATATAAAGCAGAGCTGGAAATTTTAGGATCAGTCTTAGTGGGCATTTGTTACTAGACAGACGTAAAAAAATATGGCAGAGGAAAAGTCCATGAATTTACCTGCACCCATACCAGAGACACAGGATAGTATTGAAGGAAATGAAAGAAGTTTGATATGTGATATCTTAGATCAAATGACCAATGTAATGGAGATACTTCAACAGACTATTTGTGAGTTTAAAGAAGACATGATTACTGAGATTCGTGTGTTTAGAGGAGTGATAATGAATGAGATTGGAAATCTAGAAAAGAAAATAGAGACTAGTCAGGATCAAAAGCAGATTAACAACAAGAGGAAACTTCCTGCTATAACCCAGATGGAGAACAAGAGGAAACTTCCTACTACCCAGACGGAGAAGACCCTGAAACTCCAGAAGAAAAAGTAAATATGTACACATTACTTGAATAAATCATCTTACACACTTTTACTGTGTTATTGCTTTTTCCGTTTTCAGGAAATAGAGGTTTGCTCTGTGTGAATGACACACATGACGTCACAATGGTATACTTGAATCGATGCCAAGATTGTGTATTGCCTATGCCTGACTCAGCACAAACGTAGATTAAACGTACCCCCCCCCTTTTTACTTGGGTTTTTCCAGGGTGTATACTAGATTGAACCGGTCATCTGGGGCCAAAAAAAAGTGCACTCAGTTGACCCCTCATCCAGGATCTGGGGGGACAAAAGTGCACTCAGTTGACCCCCCCATCCAGACCCGTTATACTACTGTTATGAATTGCTGTTCATATATGACTATGATGTGTTCTCTCAATTAATTATAAAATACAATCATTGCAATAGTCAAAAATTAATATTAGGTGCCATAGTTAGGTATTTGCATACATTATGTTTTGTTTATTTCTTTTAATTGTCAATTTTTTCATAGAGTTTATAGAGGAAAATATGAGGAAAATATGTGTCTATAGTGTCTATAACACTGTAGTACCAAACCTTAAAATTGCTTGTCCCACCCTTATGAATGTTCCATAGGTAAATGTCCCATCATAATTTGTACCGGTTCCATCTTGGTGATAAATAAAACCTAGTTCTTCTAAAATGCAGTTGTAATAAAGATCCTTATAAACAGTGATGGATTCATGTCATACTATTCATGTATTTTCTTTTCTCATTTTTTTTATCACTTTCTCTACTGAATACGAAAGGATAGATAGTTTGCCTTTTAATAAAATGACCCTCACAGTTTATATATTAATTCATCATGTCATGTGTTATGAGGCTAAGAAACAAAGACACTTCTTTTAAAGTAGAAAACATGCTGAATTTAGTTCATTGGTCTGTATTAAGCATAGTTAAACATGGTAATTGGGTTATGTATTAATAAGAGTTGAAAGGAAGAGTTGGAACCTACCCCCCCCCCCCCCAAGAAAAATTAAAACATACACCCTTCTTCTTCTTCTTTTTTTTAAAGCATAATTTCGATCACCATAAAAAGTACAAATATCGATTATTTAACATTTAGTTTGTAAAATTATTTATTGTAAAAACAAATATGAATGCAATATGTTCATGTCAATAACCTGTATTCGTTTAAATAGTAAAGAGCTGTCCCGATCGAAGACAAACATTTATCACCTAGAGTGGTCAATTCCTTTTGATTTTATATCAAAATGGACCCTTTTTTGTTTAACCATTATATGTAAAAATGTTTTGTGTACATGATATGGATAAAATGTAGAATTCACTTGGATGTTGGCTACAGATTAAATTGTAAAGCACTTTTTAATTTTGGTTCCGTCTGGCATGTTTACTTCGGTCTTGAAAAAGACTAAGAAATCAATTGTTTAGAAATCAGTACATTTTTACCTGAATTATAATTTTTATGGAATTCAGATGTTGTTTTGTTTGATTTTGTGAAACTGAGTTAATGACATCACATTCACACTTTCACAGCCAGATGAACGCACCTCTGTAAACACATTTCCTCTGTTTGGTCGGCACTAATGATTACATCAATTCGTTTATTATAGACATCGAATTGCCTCCCAAAATCTATATATTGTTCACCTATGTATAGAATGCTACCAATCAATATTGCATTGTTTGAGATTTAAAAGACCATCCATCGATGAACTTTTTCAAATTCTATTATACATGTATAGAGCATCTTCAGAGGATTGATGTTCACAAAGTAAAATATCCAATCAACGGGCTGGTTACATCTGTTACAATGAGGGGATGTAAAAAGTGTAATTAATTACTGTTTATCATCACTCAACTAAAAGCGGATTACAGTTAGTTCCACCTTAAGTGATAACTCTCTTTTCATATCGATTTTTTTGGCTTTGACCCCTAGATTCCGGAGTTTTCACAGGGATAACAATGTTAACTTAAGGAAACAGAAGACATTTTGTGGATGGCTGTTTAAGGACGTTCTTCCCTGACCCTGTGATCGGATAGTCGTCACAGTTGTTCGGGAATAAGACGTGCATTTGTGAAGCTAGATTTCTGGGTACTAATTTGATTAAGTTGATATTTTCTGACACCCCTGAGCATTGATTTTAAGGCTCGTTTTTGGAGTCTGCTAATTGACGTAATTCGGTATGATTTGGATTCTCGTTACTTATTGATGCTGTTTATTGTAGCATACTTTCAGCTGACAGCAGACTATCGTATTAGACCTTGTCTGTTAGCACCACAGTATGGGGACGTGCATATTACAAAAATTATGGCCAAAAAATACGCTGCATTTCTACAAATACTGCTTTTTCGTAAGTATTTGAGCTACTCATGTAATTTGGTGGAATACTAAAATTTCAATTTATTGTAATATATTTAACTTTTTGGTAATATAGATCAATGTTAGAACATTTAGACACATGTTTTTATTCTTTCATTTATTTTTAATAATTTCCATAAGGTTAACATAATTTATCATTTTCACAGAAAAAAATGGGATAAAACGTACAACTTAGCTGCATATTATTTTGGAAGTTCTTTGAAAGTTGACGAATGAAACTGAAATCTTGTTAATTATCATGCAAATGTGCTTTATTTGGGAATGTTTTAATAATTTCGGGGACATTGTAGTTATTATACTTACATGTACTCTTATATTGATTGCAAAAATTCAATACAGTAAAAAGTAAGAATAAATATACATGTATAACGAAAAAATCAGGTCAAGATGTGTATAGCAATATGATATAAATTTTGAACTTAAATTTTAGACATATGTTTTATTCTTTCATTTATTTTTAATAATTTCCATAAGATAATATACCATTTTCACAGAAAAAAATGGATAAAACACAACTTTGCCACACAATATTTGGATTTTTTTTTTTTTGAAAAGTTGACGAATGAAACTAAAATCTTGTATATAATTATCTTGCATAACTTCTTTTTGGGGAAATTTTTGATAATTTGTCAGACGTTGTCAGTCATCATATTTAGTTGTACTCTTTAAAGATCCTTATATTGACTGCAAAAATTCAATATAGTAAAAAGCAGAATAAATATACATGTAAAACGAAAAATTCAGATCAAGATATACGTGGCAGTATGTTATATATTTTGATTCCGAACACTGAATATAATTTGTCATTCCGTGCAACAGATGTACATGTTCATCTATTAGACAACCAACGAAGTACCCTTGATATTCTCTCACTGCATGATGGATTCAGATCAATGTCCATTATCATGTTTTGATGTTTGCCAGATTCTCTCCAATGGACATAGAGTGCCTCTACATTGGTCAAATGTTCCGATAAGACATGTCTTAATTCTTCTTAATAGGAGTATTCATTTACTTCCGGGATCTGATAAGGACCCAGGAACAGATTGATCAAATATGTGGAGAAACACTAGGAAATCTTCCATATCAAAATCCTATGGTTACGTCTACCAAGCTTTAAAAAAATTACTCCATTATACTTTTTTACCTTTTCGTTTCCTATTTGGTCAGGCAGAAATGGAAAGCCTTAGAATTATACTTTGACAAAATTTGCTACAAAAAGGGATTTAGTCTATTATATAATAATTTAACTCGTCTTTTTAGATTAAAAGATTGAATATATATCCTGTAAAGTTATATACCCTTTAAATAATTATTGAAAATGGATTAGCCGTATACTTTGTAGTAACAAACAAATCACCTACTTACCTAATTTCAAACTTCGTTCTGCTATAGGGGAAACACCATAATGTAGTACACGAATAGAACTAGAACGAACACCTATAATTACATTGATTATCATATTTTCATAAAACAGAAAATTCATTCATACATGTACTTTGGACACTTTCCCCCTGAAGAATCCAAATCGTCTCAAATGCAAAATTTAATTTCTAACAATCTTCTGTGTTTCTGGCTCCATTATTTAGAAGACTCAATTTTTTTTATGACGTCAACAAGACTAATTTGATTTCACGTGTCATAATTATTTTACAATTGATTAGGGCAAGAGGATGCTGCATGTTATGCATAATTGATCCGATAGGTTTTGAAGAACTCCCATAAAACGACTAAATTGGTGCGGAATCATCCGTACATTTAGAACTGCAGAACGTAGTTTAACCGAGTTTTGAGGAAAATAATATACCAATTCATGAGGATTTCAATATAGTAATATTTATCTTGACGTGCAATTCATTATGAACAGAAGCTGTTACATTGGAAATGCAGCTTCAAATGCATTTCTTTAGATTTTTTTTTTTACATATTTTTTCAACAGTCTAGGTTGTTACATGTATCAATAATTTGTTTTAGAAGAAATTATCATTTACAACACGATTTCAGGTCGACATGGACCGGCTAAAGTTTGTAATGAGAATCTTTAAATAGACAGTAATGATTGATATAAATTTTGTCTGTATTTAGAAAGTAGACGACTGTTAACCATTCTTGCGCAAATGACCAGGCACTCACTCTTTAAACCGCTGTTGTAGAGAAGGATTTTCCCCATAGCCAACTTTCCCCCCGGAATCTGTACTCTAGAGTAGGATTTCTCCTCGAGGGGAAATCTCAAAATAGAGTCAAATTTCCCCTCTTTCTTTCTCAGAGTAGGATTTCTCCTCTTTTATCAATGCTTAAATCATATCGAAAATATTTTGGCTAAAGGTTCATACGAAAGTGAATTGATTTTAATTTTTAATGGAAATATGAGTGTTTTCTACTCAAGAATTGTCAAATTTAGTATGAAATCTTAAATATCATTGAGTCTCCACCAAGAATTTTAACTCAAAGGAAATTGTAAAATTAGTCTCTCATAAGTCTTAAGACTCGATGTCTCAACATCCTCTCAGGGCAGCTGTTTGTTTACAAATTCTAAAATGTATATCAGGCCACCTTCAGTGATTTGATAATTTGTTTGTCCACTTAAAGGCCCAGAGGTTCGATTCTTGTTACAAAGAGTGTGTGAGAAAATTCTAAAATTTGTTATTAAAGGTTCCATATACAATTTTGTGAGTACATGTGTATTTGAATTAAGTTCTCAAATGGAAAGGGGGGGGGGGGAGTCAAAACTAGTGGTGTTATATTGGATTTGAAAGCAGACAGCAAATACTCTCTTACAGTTCTACAAGATTTCAAATTTTTAGAAATGAATGACTCATTTTTAGTTTCATGGCAACTGCAGCTATTTTGGATATTTAAACACCAGAAATTTAGAGAGACACTTACATACCAATAATAAGGAAATGTAGTTTGAAATACAGTTGCAGAAAAATCCATTTAAAGTAAAATCCCTTTTTGTTTTCATGGACACAGTTAAAAATTTGTTCAACCGATTACAGTGTACCAATGTTTTCAGAAACAAGTTTGACCAGATGAAAAGCATACGATTTTAATGTTTCAAAAGAATAAGTTGGACAGATACTGAGAAAAATGAGATTTAAAATTTTATTTTTCATACTTCGTATGTTTCAATGGAACTGGTCGCCATTTGAAGAAGGGACACTTGTAACAATGTGTCATCCCCTACCCCCTCAAACATAAGTACGGCCATAATATTTTATTGGGGGAAATTTGCTTTGGGGGAATCGCACTCTATAACTATAACGCAGAGTAATATTTTCCCCCGAAAATTTGAATCTGATGTGGGAAGTCCTACTCTAGAGACATTTTTCCGTGGGTGAAATCCTACTCTAGAGCCAGTTTTCCGGGTTGGAAATATTTTAGGGGGGAAAGCCTATTTAACAAGACCGCCACTCTACTTTTAATTTTTTAAAAAGAAACTTAAAGGTGGAAAGTAATTAAATTGAGAGGCAAAAACAAATAGAAAACATGATCAGAAGATGGAATAACAAAAATAAAATATTCTTAAAGTGATTAAGAGTGAATATATTTTTACAAAATCCGAGAGCTTCCACCCACCTCCTGTTTAGGATTAACAAAGATCCAGAAGGGGGAGGGGCTTTGGTCCAAAAACTACAGCATCCAGGTGTACGCATCAATTTAAATGGCCTCTAAATACACATTTAAATGGAGAAAATCTGTGCATATTTGATTAGTTGTGTTCCACTCTGTATATCACGTGATACTTTAAAACAAATAATTTACCTTTTAGTAACTTGCTATCGTTAAAACGTAATTCTGCAATAATAGTGCTTTTGTTTTTCAGATGTAGCCATTTTTGACTTGAGTACACCACAGGAAGACGAATGCGAGGGATGTAAGTATGCACAGTATATAAAAAAAAACTCCCACAGCATGCTGACAGCATTATACTTTCTAAATACTGACTTTCTGCAAACATTTGCTGCAAGTCTCTTGATGGAATGAGTCTAGCATTTTCCAAAGAACACAACAATAAAATTGTGCAACATATATGAAAATTTAGAAACTGAGGCCTATCTGCTAACGATAGTATATAACAAAAATATAGGAAAGTGGATTTAGAAAATTTCAAGTCTCATTTTTAGCTCACCTGAGCCGAAGGCTCAAGTGAGCTTTTCTGATCAAAATTTGTCCGTTGTCTGTCGTCGTCGGCGTCGTCTGCGTCGTTGTTGTCGTAAACTTTTCACATTTTCATCTTCTTCTCCAGAACTACTGGGCCAATTTCAATCAAACTTGGCACAAAGTATCCTTGGGTGAAGGGGTTTCAAGTTTGTTCAAATGAAGGGCCACGCCCTCCTCCAAGGGGAGATAATTACGAAATAGCAAAAAATTAATGGCATTATTGAAAAATCTTCTTCTCAAGAACCAGTGGGCCAGGAAAGATGAAACTCATGTGAAATTATTGTCAGGTAGTGTAGATTCAAGTTTGTTCAAATCATGACCCCCGGGGATAGGGTGGGGCCACAATGGACGATCAAAGTTTTACATAGGAATATATAGGAAAAATCTTCAAAAATCTTCTTCTCAAGAACAGCAAAGCTATTATTGGTCATATTTATTTGGAAGCATCCTCAGGTGGTGTAGATTCAAGTTTGTACAAATCATGACCCCCGGGGGTAGGGTGGGGCCACATTGGACGATCAATGTTTAACATAGGTGTATATAGGAAAAATCTTCAAAATCTTCTTCTCAAGAACAGCAAAGCTATGATTGGTCACATTTATGTGGAAGCATCCTCAGGTGGTGTAGATTCAAATTTGTTCAAATTATGACCCCCGGGGGTAGGGTGGGGCCACAATGGACGATCAAAGTTTTACATAGGAATATATAGGTAAAATCTTCAAAAATCTTCTTCTCAAGAACAGCAAAGCTATTATTGGTCATATTTATGTGGAAGCATCCTCAGGTGGTGTAGATTCAAGTTTGTTCAAATCATGACCCCCGGGGGTAGGGTGGGGCAACAATGTATGATCAAAGTTTTACATAGGAATATATAGGAAAAATCTTTAAAAATCTCAAGAACAGCAAAGCCACGGTTTGTCATATTTATACGGAAGCATCCTCAGATAGTGTAGATTCAAGTTTGTTCAAATCATGACACACCCCCCCCCCCTCCCTTTTTATTGGTAGGTTGGGACCACTTATGCATTTATGCTTTTCAATACTAAACTGATTTTTCCTTTTTTCCTAGCCACAGTGCTCAGGTGAGCGATCTGGCCCTTGGGCCTCTTGTTTATGTTATTCTTAGTATATTTTAAATGAAAATGAGGAGTGATAAGTGAATTACTAGTAAATGTTATTAATGATAAACATTACAAATACACGTAACAATAAACACAATATGCATTGAAACACATGTTTGCTATAGATTTAATCCAATTCATATAAATTCCCTGTTATTATTTTTTATAGTACTATACCATGTATTTATTTTAGAATGAATCAATATCGATGAAACAAAATGTGTTATATTTTTAAACCAACTTATACCCAAAGCTTCCTTTCTAAGGAGGAAATTCTTCAAAATCATATGTCAGTTTTAAATAATTTTGATATTCCCAACAATCAAAATGAATTTGAATTACCATACCTATACAGGGTTCCTATACTTCATAAAAATCCTTACAACAGATACATAGCGGGTTCCAGTAAATGTTCTACCAAGCCTCTTTCTTTACTCCTCACTAAAATATTAACAGCAGTGAAGGAGAAACTTCAGGAGTGCTGTACGCCAATTTACTAGTATTCGAGAAGGGGTGTCAATCAGAAATGGACACTTAAAAAATTCAAAGGAACTTTTAGAAAATTTGAAATCACAACATTTTACCAAAATCAAAACCATCAAAACGTACGACTTTTCAACACTTTATAAAACCATTCCCCATGATAAATTAATGTCCAGGTTTTTGACATCATTGACAGCTGCTTTTTCAATAAAAATGGAACTCGTAAATTTACTTACCTTGTCATTGGTCATTTGCAACAATATTTTGTTAAAAAACATTCTGATTGTACACACAAGTACTCTGAAGTTGACATTATAAAGATGCTTGAGTTTTTGATTGATGATATTTATGTAGTACTTGTATTTGGAGAACAGGTCTTTCAACAATCTATCGGAATTCCCATGGGTACGAACTGCACCCCGTTATTATCAGACCTATTTTTTATTCATATCAAGCAGATTAGATTCAAAATCTTAAATATGAGAAAAAGAAAACACTTGCTGTGGCCTTCAACTCGGTATTTAGATAAATCGACGACGTAATATCAATTAACAATAGTTACTTCCATTCAAATGTCGACTCGATATATCCCAGTGAGCTTGAAATAAAAGATACCACAGAGTCTGACCATCTGTTTCATATTTGGATATTTTACTAGAGAAAGACGTTAATGTTAACCTAACAACCAAGCTTTATGATAATAGTAACTTTAACTTTTCAATCGTCAACTTCCCTTACTTATGTAGCAATATGCCATTAACATCTGCATATGGGGTTTATATCTTCCAGATGAGTTAATACGCAAGGGAATACTCCACGTATGAACAATTTCCAAAACGAGGCAAGCTATTGACAAACAAGTTCTAGAATATCAACAGTCTTGTTAAAAGTCATCATTTTGCAAGTTCTATGGTCGATGCAATGACCTTGTCAGCAAATACAATATATCATTAAGTCAAATGCTGACTGACGTTTTTCATACTAATTGTCAGACCCTTATGTACACACTGAATTGTCGACGAATTTTTCCGTTATTTCCCGATCATGACAAGGAGCACGCAGCGGGTGTCACCTGTCGGCAGGGGTGCTCACTCCTCCATGGCACCCGATCCCACCTCTGATGTTTTAGAGGTCCGTTTGCTCTGCTCCTGATTTTGTTTTGTATGAATGGACTTTTGAACTTGAATACTGTTCATTTTCTCCATATTTCATTGTACGGATGGTGTTAGAGTACCGAGACAAAGTTATTCAACTATAATTTTATTAAATTATTATCATAGCCACATTATTATATACGGCTCGCAATCAGGGTTTTGGTCTAAATCAGAGTTTTAAAAATAGAAAATTAAGGTACAAAAATAAAATAAATTATAATTCAGATTATTGTTGAACCTGATTTAGTTACAAAGATATGAAGTCATTGTTATACCAATCTTGTCTTTATTACAAAGACGGAGGAAAATGGTTATTGAGTTATCCTTTCGCTCAAGACATTAATTAGATTTCTTTAAACCATATCATGAATTATAATTACATGTTATTTTGAGAGAGAAAGAGACCTTACCTTCATTTTATTCAGATACACGGTAAGTAATAGGCAGTAATGATTTCACCAATTAGTGACGAGCCTGTCGCGCACGTTGCATGCTCGCGTGTGCATATGTTTTTTTTTAATTGCTAAAATAAGTTTTATAAATGAAGACAGAAAATCAATAGGAAGGGGGAAAAATTAAACACTAGAGAATAATTAATCTTCAAAAAGTATACATAAATAGTAAAATCTGAAATATCATCAATGTTTTGCATCCAACAACTAAGATAGGGAACAAATAAATTGTCGAATAAAAGGCGGTCAAAGAAAAATTAAGTTAAAATTCAAACTTTAGACGAAATAGAAAAATAGTACATGAAGGAAAGATGGTAGAAAATAACCCTTCATTGAAAATTAAGATAAAAGAAAAACTGTCAAATCGAAGAGTTACTGTAAAAATAGAAAATCTCTAATAACCCCATGGATCCGGATGTACAGTTGTACTATCTCTAGACGGAGGCCTAGTTTAGCATGTCCTATTTAGTAAAATATCTTATAATTATGCCAGACGATGGGCAACATTTGAAGGGAAGTCCTGAACACTTTGTCAGATCGGATTTAGTCCTTTAGAAATATAACAGTCATGCAAGCAATGGAATATCCTTGCCAAATTATATTAAAATTGCCCCTGGAATATCTTCATTCAAGACTCTTTTAAATTCTATTTCTATTGAAACAGTCTTGAACTTCATTTTAGAATAAGAAAATACAAAATAATACTTTGTCAGTTTAAGGAATAGTGTAAGTAATTTGATGGCAGACTTTTTTAACTAATGTTTATCAGAAACTCCAATGTTTGAACATTATGCTGATTCTACTTAAGACAGAATACCATTACTTTTTATATATGTCCAAAATATACAACTCGAAGAGATATACTTTTTCGATCAATACGTAATACTATTAATTGTGACGATCTCTCTGAATCAGAATTTTTATCAAATGGTATACCTAATTATGAACGTAATACAATATTCAAATATGTGAAGCTGTAGATACATTTAAAGCAACAACAAAACGATTTATTTAAACAGTGTTATATTAGTATAACATTTTTGAATATTTCTTAACCAGTACTTCTCTGTAATTTTGATTATTTTTCTCTGTATTATTTTTCTTTACATTTTAAAAAAATCTTTTTGGTACTAGTACTTTAAAAAAAAAAAACAACAACAAAAAACAACTTTTTGCATTGTTTATTTAATATTAAAAATTTATGTATTCACCTTGACCTTGATGTAGGGAGAGGGCTAAATAGCTTGAGCTTGCTGCCCCTTCACTTTTGTGAATAACATCTTGTTTAAATTGATACTACATCTGGAAATCCAACTTATACTCATAGTTCATTTTCAAAGGATGTTATTCTTCCAAATCAAATTTAAATTTTCAAAACTTTTAACTTTCCAGTCAACAAAAGTGAGTTCGATCTATCCTACCTATACTGGATTCCTATAAACTGCTAAAAATCCTTTTAAAAAAACAATGTTAGAATACCGGGTTCAGCAACTGCTCTACCAAGCCCCTATTTTTACTTCTCACAAAACATAAACTGCTCTACAGGTTAAACTTAAGACGTACTGTACTACAGTATATTCGAGAAGTAAATAAAACTTTTAGAAAATTTTAAATCATAAAACTTAGTAACATCAAAACATATTACTCTTCGACACTTTATACAGCCCTTCCTCTCGATACTAGGCGTTTTGATATCACAGACAACTGCTTCGTCAATAAAAATGGAACACAGTAATTTTCATATCTTGTAATTGGTCATCTACAAAATTACTTTGTAACTTGCTGTGGCTTTCAAGTAGACATTCAGATATATCGACGACATTTTTATATGTTACTTCCCTTCATATGTCGACTCGATATCTCCCAGTAAAGTTGAAAGAAAAGACACCACAAAGTCTGCCACCTCGGTTTCATATTTGGATGTTTTCCTGACTATAGACGATAAGGACCAACTAACAATTAAACTGTATAACAAACGAGATGAATTCAGCTTTTCCATCGTCAACTGTATTTAGTACTCAGTTATACTCACTAATATATAGTAGCATTCCGCTATCACTTGCATACAGTGTTTATGTCTTCCAACTTATTCAATACTCAAGAGCATGCTCTGTATACGATCAATTTTTAAACCGAGGCAGCTTACCGACAAATAAGTTGATATTACATGGATTTCAACAACCTCCTTACAAGTCAACATTTCGTTAATTCCATTGTCGTTATAATGACCTTGTTAGCAAATATAACCTATTATTGGGTCGAATTTTGTCTGACACAATTGATAGGCATTTGTTTTTATATTAAATTTGACTATGGAATATTCCGTCTATCTAACTAACTCCACGAAGGCACCTAATCCCACCTCTAGAATTTCCATAGGTCCTTGTTTTGTGCCCTTTTCAAAGCTCTTAATTTTCAAGGTCCCGTTGGCCAAAACTAAGAGTCAATTCAATTATCCGAACATTATAACATGTACAATGCTTTGATCAGTTTTATTACTATACTAATACAGTTGTATATAACACATTCGTCTGTTTTCATTTTCAGATTTTAAAAAACCACTGTACTGCTATGAGTGCCAAGCCTCTTCAAGGTACCCTAACTACTGCTCTGACCCATTTAATGCCACTTTGCTGGCAAACAATGTCTCCATTTGTGAAGGTCACTGTGTAAAGTGGGTCAGGGAGCCAAGCCCAGGTGAGATTGCTTCCCTTCAATTAAAATTAATTCAGATACAAGTTCCTTGAAACAGGAAGCCCCGTGCAGGTAAATGGAGGGGCTCCCACATTTTTCCAAATGAGAAACCTCGTCTGAAGCAAAATTCATAGGATTATGATGAAGAAAAAAGGGTTGTGCACATACACTAAAGATTCTATATTTATGTTTTAATTTTTTTTATTTATTCCCCAAATTATTTTTTGTGAATCCCATTTGAGTATCATTTGCTCTCTACTTACTTTATTGATCTCTTAATTGTTTACAAAAATTCTGGGATACAGAGCGAAGGAGCTTTCAATTGCCAATTTCTCCGTGAAAAGTTTTACATACAAATATATAACAACTTCAGGTGCTTACTTCCTAAATATTTACAGGTTTCATCACCTACACGCGCACCTGCTCTACCCGTTTGAGAATCAGAATGATGATTAACATTGTCTGCATGGAAGAATCCAGACCTCGTTCCGGAGAAATATGCTTCTGTAAGGATTCAAAGTGTAACGCTTCGTCTGGAACACAATTTTCAACACTGGTTCTGTTTTGTGGATTATTCTTTATCAAGGAGTGGACCTGAAAAACTTACCATGGAATCATGCATTGATAGTCAACAAAATTGTACTAGTGTGATTGGATACAAATTGTTCTGGAGATACTTTTATCGGGCAATCATACAAATTAATTTTTTTATAAATATATATACAGCACTTTGCACTTATCTACTATATGATATCTGCAAGCCAACACAACCAAAACTGTACATTGTGAACGCATTCGCATGCAATAATTTGTATACAATAATTGGAATGAAACGAATTCTCAATATTTTGTGAGTACTGCAGTTTGGTATTGAAAGTGGACTTGTGCTGATGCTTTTCTTAACTCTACATTTAAGGCTGAAGGCACGCTGATTTATGGAATCTTGTATTATATATATTTGAATATGAGATTCAGACTTTCAAACTACTTGACAAGGAGTTTGTGGTATTCATAAAAAGTGAAGGTTTCAATGTCACGTGACTTTATTAAACTCCCTTGCAGCCTCGTGCTTCCGAGGATATATGCAAATTATCCTTTGCAAATATTGTATTACACAAATGCATATGATATTTGTCTTACTTTTTGCACCTTATAGTGTTCACATGGGGATTGAGAATGCCAGATGCTCCATCCTAAGTCATGCAGGAAATAGATTTTTAAAAACGCAGTCTGATCTGTCACCTGTGTGGACAGTGTTCGATCTGGACGATTCTGGAATCGTGTTCAGCTCGGAAATGATTGTATAAAGTTGTGTTAGGTACATGTATACTCGTTAAATTTCAAGTTGACTTTTTATTAGTCAATCTTAGAAATACAGAAAATAAGTAATGTATATATTCAAAGCTTACAATGTTCCAACGTTAGTTGTGAATTATAACATGTATTCTCAGTATTGTTTCTTTCGTATAATTTATTGAGGAAAGACAAGGTAAGAGAGAGTTCGGAGAATGGGGTGGAAGAAGCGAAAAGAGAAAAAAAATTGGAAGAGAGTTGGGGGATAAATGGGCAGATACTGGTAGAGGGAATGGGGGAAGGTCGGGGTAAGGTACTGCTGACCACACAAACATGTACATATGTACGGTACCATTTAGTCAATCAAATTATTTGATCTTTTACAAGCAAAAAATGATACGCTAAAGATCTAATTGTAAAATATTGATATGGAATCCAACGAATAAATATTTTCTGTGTTACAGAATTATTTAGTTTCAATTCTGAATTCTGATTTAGGCAACATTGATCGACTGACGTGTAAATTTGGAATTACTTAGGGAAGCTGACTCGCCTTGTTTACATAAACTTTTGTGATGATTTTGTGGATTTAATTATTTCAACGACTTGAATTTGAAAAAAAATCATCAGAGGTTTTATACAAAATATAATTCTCCATTACAACAAAAATGAAATTCAGCAGAGAATTCAACATAGATTTTATTTTTAAAAAATTCTCCATTAAATCTTAAATGAAATTCATCAGAGGATTTATAAAGAAAAATAAAATCTAAAATTCATGCTTTAAGATAAAAATGAAGTGGGGTCAAGTTCAAGTGTATTATTCCTGTACTTTTTTGTGTCGCTTATGCAGAAGAACGACACTAAGGGATCATTTTGACAGGCTTCTATTCGTTTTTGAACCGTGAATTATAGGGATCTGAGATTTGGCAAAGGATTTTTATACAATAAAAGGCTCACAGACCTTGTAATTTTGGCCATATTTCCAGAACAATTTAAACTGAATAATGTGTATTTGTGAATTCACATCTTTTCAAACGTGAGGACTAATGCTGCGTTATTGGCATGTGCAACAAAGGTTACAAAACATTTTAAGAAATTTTAAGGTTGTTGACCTTGTGACCTTCAACTTCATTTCTGACTTTCATATAAAAATCGGTTTCTTTCATCCTTCCTTTGGAATGCTTTTGATATTTTTAACATGTATATTGCTTATTAATAGACATTTCGAAAAGGTACTAAGCTTACAGACTTTGTGACCTTCAACTGACTTTGACCTATTTTCAGTTATTTTGACCCATTTCTACTATAAGAAGTTGGATTTTGAAATTTAGAATCTAAACATATGTCTTTCTTTCTAAAAATTGGGCCTCACTTCTTTAACTATACAAGTCCTTTGACCCAGTTAGTAGAACCTTAAAGTCACCTGTATGACCTCTATTTTCTAGGTAAGATAAAATCTGTAAAAACAAATTATCATAAAGATAAAAGTGATAATGTAATCTGTTGAAAAAAAATTCAAATGCAATGATTAAGACTTATTACTGTAAACCAACTTTTATTCGCGTGCGAGAAATATCCGCGAGTTTCGCGACCTACTTTACCTCGCGAATAGTAATCGGCGCGAACCATTCATTTTACTTTGTTTTTGTAAAGAATGTTTCTTCAGTCGCGAAAATTAATCGTCGCGGATTGATTTCAAACTGACGAATTGCGAATTTTCAGAAATTTGATCATGCGAATAATATATACTAGTAGTTGGTTTACAGTAACTTAATCCTCGTTTAAGTTATTAGTCACTCTTTGTTCTACTATAATATATTGTGTTTTAGTTGAATACCTCTTTGGTTAAAATCTAAGTGCTTTGCCTCGTTATATGCACATGGTGATATTAAGCCTAAGGCAAATTGCTTGGCAATATCATAGAGCTTGTTCATTGAAAAGTATTCAACATCAATAATTTATAGAGGAATGTTTCGTCATTGTCATTTGCACCATCTGGGTTTTTCTTTCCCCCAAACAATAGATTTCGTCTTCCGTTGCACGCAAAGTTGAGAGCGAATCCAACACATATGTGCATGCATAAAAAAGCTTTTTGTTTGCAGTATATACGGCCTCCATTATATCGTTTCTCCTTTCATCCAAAATTATTTGTAAACATTTGTATCATTTCTTAATATTCTTCCAAAAAGATCGTTGCATCATGAAATGTTAAATAATAGATTTATCAATACGTATATCATTTTTCAGATTGCCCTTGGGCCAAAAAGGGTATTTATTCAAACATTTTTTTATGAAGCGATCATTATACATATAAAATATTAAATGTTTCTTGTTAAGATCATTACCAGGGGTGTGATTTGAATTTAAATTCTATTCACATTTGTTCTTTATTCATGTCCTCCCTCTTTATTTAAAAAAAAAAAACAAAAATATAATTAGCAGTATACAAGAATTAGAATGCATACATATAATTACAAGGAAAAAATAGATAAACATTATGTCCGAACTTTCTGAAAATGTGTATCCGTCCGTCACGCCATCTTGTGATCGCTTCCCCTATACTATATTTTGGGGATGCCAAATAAGTTACTTTACTGTGATTAGCCTGTTCCTGCAGATGTGCAATACGATTTTGAAATCTCGATTTTTGGCTCCAAGAGTCCCATGGGCCTAAAAGGTGTGGTTTTAAGACTATCATCTTACTCTTACACATTTTAACCGTCACGGTAGCTCAATTGGTAGAGCGCTCGTTCCGTGATCGGAAGGTCGTGTGTTCGAATCACGGCCACGACCGACCCAAGTCGATAAAAAATAGGTAGCAACTGTTCCTTCGCCAAGCGCTCGGCACTTTGAAGTGAAAGTTGTGGGTCCTTCGGATGAAACCTTAAAAACCGAGGCCCCGTGTCACGGTAGGCGTTGGCACGATAAAGAACCCTCACTGCTCAATGGCCCTGAGTGCCGAGTAAAGGTCTAATTTGAAGCCCTACACCGGTATATGGTGACGTCTCTATATGAGTGAAAAATTCTCGAACGGGACGTAAAGCAACGTACAATCAATCTTACACATTTTAAGTGGTAGCAAAGAAAAAAGTCGTTTTGCTAATGATTGGTTATTTCATGAAGATGTGCATTAATTAAAGCTTTGTATTGCTGATGTCTTGAACTCCTCATGGACTACAAATGGTATGGGTTAATTACGTATATCCTCAAGTAACGGAAAAATACTTTCATCAATCTTGAATTCCTTTTACATCTTGGGGTACATACTACCACTGCAGTTTTAGATGCTGCTTTTGAACTTTATAATTATTTTCTGGATAAATATTAGCTGGAGAGCTGTAGCTCTCTGGTTGAAAAAAAATCGGATAGACAAACCAGAGAAATAAATAAAACATAGTTTTGCATTTGATTAACTTGCTTTATTAATCGTAAGCTATAGTTTACGGACTTTAAGGCTTGTAGACTGATGAACATAATTTCAAGACTTGTAAACTGTGGTTAGCAACTCTTAACTATATGCATTGCTGTATTTGCCAAAAATACCTGTAGTTTTCAACTCTTAACTATTATAATAGTTTACGGCTATAAGAGACTCCATATTCACAATTAACGTTTTTTTACTTTTGAGAATTTTAGCTTGATAAATAAATTGTGAATTCGCATTTTTTTTATGCGAAAATTGTTTCTCGACTTGTAAATATATTTAACTACACTAAACAGTAGTTTTGTTCATGAATATTAGGGAAAAGCCTTGCTACGTTTCGCAAACTATGGTTTTACAATTATGAAACGTAGTTTATCAAATTCAAAACTATACTTTCCTTCTTTAATTTTATTTTGTTGCAAAATTGGCGTGTTATAGATTTCATTCGAAAACTTCTACATGTGAAAAAAACTATTGCCTTTAATTCGACGTTTCAGTCTTTAAGACTTTTAACATTCCAATTAACGAAAGTGAGTTTGATGTAAGATACATTTACTGGATTCCTAAATTTCATAAAAATCCTTACAAAGATGCATTGCCGGGTTCAGCAACTGCTCTTATAAGCCTCTGTCTTTACTCTTTACAAAATCTTTAACTGTTGTAAAGAAAAACTCAGACGTACTGTGCTACAGCATATTCTAGAAGTGGTGTAAATCAAATTTCGATTCTCAAAAACTCATCCCACCCCCCACCCCCAAAAGAAAGTTTTACAAAATTTAAAATCATATTTTTATTTCGAAAGTTAGCAACATCAAAACGTTTGACTTTTCTACACTTTATACAACCATTCCTCACGATAAATTAAAGATTAGGTTTTTTGATATCATAGGGAACTGCTTCTTGGTTAAAAATGGAACTCGGAAATTTTCATATCTTGTGATTGGTCATCTAAAAATTACTTTGTAAAAAATTTACTCTGATTTTGATCTACACACAAGTGCTCTAAAGTTGGTATTAAAAGGATGCTGGAGTTCCTCATTGACAACATCTAAGTATTCTTCGGAAACCATGTCTTCCAACAAAATGTTGGCATTGCGCTGGGAACTAGTTATTCTACTTATTAGCCGACCTATATTTTATATTCCAATGAAGCAGAAATTATTCAAAAACTTCTACATGAGAATAGAAAACACTTACTGTGACCTTCAACTCCATATTCAGATATATTGACGACTTTTAATCAATTAACAAAAGTTACATGTACTTCCATTCATATGTCGACTTGGTGTATCCCAGCGAACTCGAAGTAAAAGATACCACAGAGTATGTCACATCTGTTTCATATTTGGATGTTTTACTGACTATAGACAATAAGGGCAAATTAACAACTAAATTTGTATGACAAATGCGATGACTTCAGCTTTTCCATCGTCGACTTTCCTTATTTATGTAGTAATATTCCGCTACCACCTGCATATGCATGGTGTTAATGTCTCCCAACTTGTTCGATGCTCAAGAAAATGCTCTGAGTACGATCAATTTTTAAGTCGAAGTAGTCTACCGACAGATAAGTTGACGTTACATGGATTTCAACCCCTTCGTTGAAAGTCAGCATTATAATGACCTAGTAAACAAATATAACCTATCATTTGGTCATATTTTGATTGCCTTGATAGGCCTTTGTGTTTTACTTAATTTGACTACGGAATATTCCGTCTACCTGATCAATACATAGAGCTCACAGAGAATGCTTATTCCTCTTAGGCATCTGATCCCACCTCTGGAATTTCAAGAGGTCCGTGTTTTATGTCCTATTCACAGATTTGTACATTTTTTGGAGATCAATCACTGTACGTTATCTTCACCTTTTTATTAGAGATCTCGACGACGTTTTATCAACAATAGACTCGGTATATCCCAGTGAACTCGAAAGAAAAGACAAAACAGAGTTTGCCACATCTGTTTCACATCTAGATGTTTTACTGATCATAGACTTAAAGGGCCAACTAACAAGAAAACTACTAGTATATGAAACACGTAATGACTTTCAGCTTTTTCCAGCTTTTTCGTCAACTTCCTTTATTTATGAAGTAATATTCCAATTACCTGCATGTGGTGTTTTTGTCTCACAACTGAATTGGTGCTGTATTTATGGATTACCTTGTTTAACTGGTCAATACAAGAGGGCTCACTGCGGGTTTGACAGGTCCAAGGGAATGCTTACTCCTCCTAGGCACCTGATCTAACCTCCGCGTGTTTTTGCTCTAATCACGATTCGTTTTGTTTACAGGATTTTGTTAAGTCGATAAAACTGTTCGTGATCCTTCAACTTTTCATTAATATTTAGTGCAAAAAGTAAATAGCTTGTCAGAGCCTTAAGCTATATTAAACAACTGCTTATTATCGTACATTTCTGTGGCAACTAGAAGTAAGAAAATTACTCATTTTTCGCTATTTACTATCGACTAGAGAACCGTATTCTGTTGTCTGTTCACTATTCTTACTGAAGGTGTTCTTATATCTAGACCCCCAACCCTAAAGCTAACATGGCCAAAGGGATCACAGTGTATACATTGTACTTATAAGAAGAACATAGTACAGGGGGCTCGATAACATCCAGAATCCCATAATTCGACCTTCATCTTCTGTCAGAGGAAAGGTCTGGGAGTGACCAGTTGACCGCCAAAAGGAATTAGGTTTGCAAGATTCCAAACCCCTATAGATGACAATGCAGTTGTAATGGGGGCAAGTGCACAAAGGGCTGGAAAACTTCCATTTAACTTGCGACTATGGCTGGGACGACACAACTTTCTCTATATCGGTACATATCACGATACTTGAGCCATGATACGATATGTATCACGATATGTTGATTTGGTTATAAAATCTTTTGAATGTATGTGTGTGTGTGTGTGTGTGTGTGAGGGTGTGTGTGTGTGTGTGTGTGTGTGTGTGTGTGTCTATTGAAATGAACAAAACATTTCCCCACAATAAGAATAATTTATTCAAAGAAGTATATCTGTTGTAAAACAAAACTATTTTACACAAGTGGTGTTAATGTAAATTATGTATTTCATATTTATATTATATTTAGCATATTTAATTTATATATTAAACCCAAAATGTTAAGTAAAGTAAGCAAAGAAAAAAAATGTCAGATTTTTTTTTTTGGCAATATTTTGATATTTCTTCAAACGTATCGATATGTGTATCAAGCTCACACAGAATCGATATTATCGATACTTCAATTAATATATCATCCAAGCCCTACAGTGAGTTGCGACGTAGAGGTTAAGGACATACGCAACGTACCTTACCTACTGATAATTTTTCAAGATATTCTTAATTTAAGATTATAGTGCCATCAGACGTTCGTAGACAAAAAATCAGCATGCATAACCAGGCAGGGGTTTTGAAAAGATATCAATATTGATGAAAATTCTTGTATAATTCAAAGAAAAATACACAAAAATTACTAAACATATATTCTACGTTTTGTTTATCCAAACTTGTTTTAGAAGACGTGTACAACAGCATATATAGACATAAAAATGTAGCACATGGTTCCTTTAAGTATTGGAACTCTTCAACTCCAGGGAAAAAGACAATAAAGTTCAAACTACGTTGCGGATGTCCTTAAACTGAGATACTATTCAGTGAGTCTACGAGTGCACTTGTAAGCCAGTTGCGATATACTCCTGACAACTTTATTGCAATTTGGTAGTTAATCAATGCATCTGTATATATTTTATAAAAAATCATGCAAGTTTATATGCCTTTCAAAGAAAGGTTAAACATGTATCTTAATAATGTGAAATACAATTCCTACAGAAACATTAGAGTTATCTCTCTTGGAAAAGAAACGTGTCATTCACAGCAAATATATACATAACTTCTTTCACGATTTTAACAGTCTATCTTTAGACAAATGTATATGTAATAATAAATCTCCCTTTAAAGTAATGCAAATACACAAAATTCTCGGGTTAACCCGTAAGCGGCTTTAGCACCTAGACTCATATACATACATACATACATACATACATATATATATATATATATATATATATATATATATATATATATATATATATATATATATATATATATATATATATATATATATATATATATATATATATATATTCGCCTTCATTATAGATTAAAAAAATTATAGGTGGAAATGGTCAGAATATTAAATGTATATTTTTAAAATTGTTGTAAGACCTTCAGAGTTACTAGTAAACGATGAATTGTGACTTTGATCTCTGAGTTTCTATTCAGATTAATTAAAAGGTATTTTTTGAAGAAAAAAATCATTTCATATTGCATAAAGCACCTTAACACAAGTATCAGACTAAAATCACATTGTACTTCACGTCAGTGAATATGTGAATTAATTAAAGTCCCATTGGCTCATGCATGTCTATGAACTTTGTGACAAGATAAGATTCATGTTGTATTCTGCATCAAAATATATGTTCAGGCTTCATTTTAAAAATAGATATTAATGATAATTCTGATAAATTTTTAGGGTAATTTAAATAGGCATTTTTTTGGCATATTCTTAAACCTTATTAAGAAAAGACTAAAGATGAAACATGCAATGCTTTGATTAAAATCTTAAGACACATGTATATCCTAAGTAAATATAAAGTAAAAGCAGTAAAAATTACTATAAAAGTACGATTCAAATCTTTTTTCTTCTGACCAAACCCCTTATATGCATTAATTTAACGTACTATACCCTTTGCTCTAATTAAGTTCCGTGGATACTTTCAATTTTCTGTATGTTCCAAATGAAAAAGGACACAGTACTTCGAGGGAGGGGGGGGGGGCAGGAACATTGAATATCTTGAACAACAAAAAATCATTAAATACCACTACTTTTAGCGTGTTTTTATGAATACCTATTGAGTTGCATTAATCGGACAGTCAATGGGCCTCAGATTGCATGCTAAACGTGAATGTGATAATTCGATCCTCATACAGTGCTTGGTCGCTTTAGGATCAATACTCTTCTTTTTTACTTGAAGTATATTTTTGGTCAGTTTCTTACTGTGTTGATCCATGCAATCATACGGTCTTATATTTGATCACTAAAGTTGAAATATAAAAAAATGTACATAGTTCCGATTTGACATATCTTAGCATTGAAACAATTATTTGTGTTAATTGGACATATGTTGGAGGAACCTGCATGTCTGATTGCACAAAAAAAGGGCAGCTCAACGGATGATTAACTTCGTTTACACCTAAGCAAACCACTGAATTGGAACGTAATCATTTTATGAAACACCACAGCACATTTAATTTATCCTGAATACGGGTATTTTGGCGAGCAAGTACAAAAGGTCGACACAATAAGTTTATAAACGTGTACTTGGCAAAATCTCTAGGACATTGTAACGGCGATCAAGTGTGAAAAAAAGATATTTAATACACAACAACACCATGTCCTAGCGGATATGGAATGAAAACATTGCTGTCGGGCCACGAGAGAGATTCATTTAACTGCGTGGGGTTCATACACCACAGTCGGACCCACTGCTTTAAGGAAAACTAGTCTAAGGGAGTCCTTCCAATCAATCGAACGGATTTTTTTTATAACACCGGAGATATATTTCATGCGCTCGTTATCAGCAACACACGATCTCGCGTGCGCCGAACGTGCTATCAAGTTACAGTGCATCATCGGCAAGTGTTGCTGAACAGTCGTGCTGTATGGAAGTGCAGCGATAAGGATACGTATTGTGTTCAGTTTGAGTTTTTAACTATGGCCAAAACGTAATGTAACAGGAAGGTGGACATACTGATGGGATTTCTGCTATGCCGCCAAATTTCTTTATTCTTGCCTTATTATTGATTCTCTCATGTTCCGTGTCTGTGTTTGGACAGGACGATTTGACAGGTATGTGAAGAATAAAGCGCATTTGTGTAATTAGGTGAAAGAATTTCCTTCTTAAATCCTTAGAATCGTTTGCAGGAAGAGATTTATTTTCAGAATCCCATAGAAGACGTAAGCCGTTACTGGTAGTAAAAATAACAGTCTGGTTTTCATAAATTCTGCTGCAAAATTGTGTAACTATCTTAAAACGCTAGCTCAGTGCAATATATATTGAAGTTCTGCACCTGGGGAATTTCTTTATCTATATCAAGTTAGCTTATGGAAAACATGGTGTACCGAGATGGAAAGCTTCTTGCTCCCTATGTCACATTGCTAAAGAGTACTCGGAAATCTCTCATCGGCGGTGAATTTTTAATTTCGCTTTAACAATCATAAGAATGCGTATTGTTAAGTCCTTTAGTGTACAGCCGGATGACCCTCCTAAAACGTTTTTCCCCGGTGTAACAAATTTATATGTATCCTAAAATTACTTTATGATACAGCGCTTTTTTCATCTTGCCATTTAGTAATTGAATTAGGATAAGCGGAAATAACACCCAAATACATTGGACTTCTCACTGAAGTGTATATAATATGCAAATTGATTTGGAGTGGTTACAGGGCACTTGTTTTCGTTTCCCGCCTGAATTACCATGTAGACACCAGGCATCTGTTTTAGATGGTATTATAGCTCATACCATCGATCTCCTCGATGGTATTTTCAGTCAACTGTCTAAGGCATCGTAAGCAATTGCACATTAGTGGGTAAAGACAAGGATCCTCATCCCCCTGCTAATTAGGTTATCCCATCAATTCTCGCCATAAATTACTTAATAGTGTTCGAAATGAATACTTTTGAGTTCTGTTATCTACATGTTTAGGCATTTTGTGTAGGAAAATCTTAGCGGTTTCTGAATGGCCATCATAAAGTCTTGGCTAATACTAAAGTTTCATAAATAATTTTCTATGGAAACAATTTATGAGATTAATCACAGTAAATTGGAATTCTAGGCTTTTGAGCCAGGCATTTACAGTATAAGTATTGTTTAAACCGTGTTCATGAGAATGGATAGTATTTTTTGATATTGTGGAAAATTGGGTGCTATTGGCAAAGGACGAGTTCATTTACCTCGCATCGAGCACATTTAATTCAGCGATAAAGAATTACAAGATAAAACACAAAACACCTTTGTACAAACTTTAAACAAATAGAGTTGCAGAAAGGACAAACGTCATCAAACAGGTGTAGCATAAAATCATTATACAGTATTTGTTATTCATTGATCCGGGCTTAGTCGTATGAATAGGCAAAATTAATATCACAATATGTATCAAATAGCCGCATCCTCTTGTTCGTGGTCCAGAACTTGACGTTTACCTCCACTCGTTTGCCGGGGAATTTTATTTTCTGTCATGATAACGTTTCGGAAGACCGAACTCTTCTAATCAATTATGGATGTAGGACATTGCATCACAACAACCACAAGTTGCATGCAGCTAGAATGAAAGAAAGACGTTATAATCATTGTAGTTATACATAAACTTCTAATAATTTATGAGGAATGGTAGAGATCAATCAAAGACGAAAGGAGGAAATTCATTAATCTAAAGAAAAAAATCCTTGGGGTTTTACTTTCGCACGAATCACACGCTGAGTTCAGAGGGCCATCTAATATTTGTCTTCTGAGGAGACCTTCAGCCAAATATTTTTTGACAAGATGGTTATTGATGAAGATTCGGGTAGTTCACTGACGGCCTGTATTGATTCTTCTCAACTTCTGGAAGAAATAGATCTATCTTCGCTCTTGATGTCAATGGAAGAGATTAACTGTGTTTTGACGTGGGGGTTATCGGTCTATTTTCCTGTTTTGGTCCTTCAGAATACAGTTTTACTCCGAAATATTGTCTTAATTGAATCACTGTTATATTAGTCGACTTAGCTGTGCTTAAAAATGTTTTTTTTAAAAAAAAAAAAACAGAAAAAAGGATTAAATGCACTGTATTTATTTTTAAAGAAAAATATTGAACCCTACGTTTTTAATGTTTTCCCATGACAATGATTTATTCTCTTAAATGTACAGACATACAACATACATTGTAGAGAGGAGGTGGGAAATGATACAAGCACATAGAAAGTGGAAATAAAACATGTATATATATAATAAACAGTATACGAAGTATCATGATTCAAGTCAATTAGTTCCATCTGTGATTCGTTTAATTTGTTTAAATTTCTCTATATTTGGTCTGTATATGAGATAATTTGAGGTATATTTTAACCTAGCCTCATTAATTTTTGTGTGTGTGTACATTCAAAAACATAAAGAAATTCATTACCAATCTTAACAAGATCACGTAAAGTACTCGTGTGTTCTCTTGGAAGACCATTCCATCTCCCAGTTTCAATAGGGAGTTTGAAATTGTTGCATCTAAATCTATATAGCAAAGCTGAAAATTTCCGTGGCACAACATAAAAAAGATATTTTTCCGGTTCAAGTATTTCTTTATAAATTCGGTCTTAATACCCTTTGATGAATTATAAATATTACTTTCCAGTTTTGGATATTTTGGTCAACAAGTATTCTTTTTACTTCATTTATAAGTTATAACCCATGCTAAACTGTACATCTGTTGTGAAGTCCATAAATGAAATCACCAAATACATGTAATATTCATTTGGAATTGAACTCATTTACCAAAATATTGGCCATCTGTCTAGAGATTGATACACACAAGTTTGCGTATAGTATTATTATCAATCATTTCGATGTATGCCAACACACACACACACGCGCACACACGAGAGAGAGAGAGAGAGAGAGAGAGAGAGAGAGAGAGAGAGAGTTTCATTCGAATTATTGCAGGGGAATTTTAAACTATGCATGGAACGTTTTCTTGGACATCGTCCATTACTTTTGATGTATATATAAAGAGCTACTTATAAAATCTGCTTTATCTTAAATATATTACTAATCTTCCAATAGGATTAATAGTTTTATTTATATTTATCGCTTCACGTACTTATGAAAATAAATATATGGTAAAGAATTTTCAATATAGTCCTATGAGACCATGAAGGATGGGTATGTCAGATGTACTTTAAAATACTAGTAATAATTATTTTTGGCGTAGCTGGCCATCGGATATCCTCATTATTTATTGTGGACAATCGGATAAAATCTTCACATTTATTTAAAGGATTAATGTACATAATGATCTTTTGAGAACACGTGATAAACTGTAAATAAATGATTGTTATGATATTTTCCTTAAATACACGGTACATTGATAAAAAGGAGGACAAGAAATCATTTATCCCATATACACAACGCATGACTAATGGATAACCTTATACAGTTATACAATTATTGCTAGTGTTTGAGGTCAATACGATGATTTAAACACCTGAGAAGTACAATATTCACCGAACCCGAAGGGAGAGGTGAATGTTGTACTTCGAAGATGGCTAAATCATCGTATTGACCTCAAAAACAACAATAATTGTTTTATTATATAATTCAATGATTAAATGATACACACTCATTTAAGCAATCCATGCCATCTTACTTATTTACATTTACTGAAGTACTAGCCAAACATATGAATGAGAGAAACGGGGTTAAGAAACATAACCAGTTGTATTATTTTGGGAATTTATATATAATTCTGCTTTAGGTGCAATGTAGAAAAAATAAATGTCAGGCACATACCGGTATATAGAATTGATTTTGAAAAAGGGACATAATAAGGAAAAAAAATTGACAACTTACCTGAAAACAAATCTTTGACTAGCCCCCCCCCCCCCCCCCCCCCGAAAAAAGAAAAGAATTCTCCCAACTCAAAATATTATTTGGTGGGATGTTAGGGTCCATGAACGAGGGGGGGGGGGCTTTCATTTTAAAATGTTTATCCTTAAAATTTAAATTAAAACTTTACATACTCAAAAAGTGGGGAGAGGGACAGACCTCCTGCAATCCCACCCCACCCCTTACCCAAGAATTTATGTCCCTTAATATTATGTTCATATGAGTGGTTGTCAGGTGCAAATGAAATAACTTTCCAAAACTATTTGTATCAATTAGAAATATCCCAATCTATTTTTAGTCTAATGTGGAGAAAAATAAATCCTTATATTCACCTGAAAGGACACGTGCAATTGAATATAAAGTAATATTTTTTCTACATTGTTGGATCTCTGCCGATCAGAGAGAAAGGAATTATTCAATCATATAATAATATACCTTATTTTTTTAACCAGCAAAAGTTTGTAGAATATATCTAGAAGATATAAATAAAATAAGAAATACATGTACATGTACAATCAAAAGACGGGAATGTCTGATGATGTATGATTTATACATAACTTCTGCAAGGTACAAGTATGCTCCACACAGTTAACAATTAAGGAAAGAAGTTCCTGATTTTTAAAAAAAGATATTGAAGTTGTACAGGTCCTCCAGTACAGGGCAGAAAATAAAATGAAATATGTTCGTCTTTGTTTACGATGTTATAATATTCTATACAATTACTGCTGGGTTTTTTTTAGGTCAATACGATGATTTAGACACCTAAGGAGTACAATATTCACCGAGCCCGAACATCGATGGTGGCTAAATCATCGTATTGACTTCAAAAACCAGCAATAATTGTTTTATTATATGATTCAATGATTAAATGACACACACTCATTAAGCAATCCATGCCATTTTACTTGTTCACATCTACTGAAGTACTAGCCGAACATAATGAGAGAAACGGGGTAAAAAAAAACAAACAGCTGTATTATTTTGGAATTTTTAATTCTAGTTTAGGTGCAATGTAGAAAAAATAAATGTCAGGCACAAATATAGGTTTGATTTTGAAAAAGGGATCATTAAAAGGAAAAAAATGACAACTTACCTGAAAACAAATCTTTGACTAACCCTCCCCCCCCCCCTCCGCCTAAAAAAGGAAAGAATTCTCCCAAATCAAATTTTATTTGGTGAGATATAAAGGTCCATAAACTTTTTGAGGGGAGGGGGGCTTACATTGAAATTTTTTATCCTTAAAATTTAAATTAAAACTTAACATTCTCAAAAGGTGGTGAGAGGGGCAGTTCTGTTGCATCCCCCCACCCCCGACCCCTCACCCAAGAATCTATGAGCCTTAATGTTATGTTCACATGAGTGGATGTCATGTGCAAGTGGTTTAACTTTCCAAAACTATTTGCATCGATTTGGAATTTCCCTATCTATTTTTGGTCCAATGTAGAATAAATAATTCCTTATATTGACCTGGAAGATCACGTGCAGGTCAATATAACGTAGTATTTTTCTAACATTCTTGGATCTCAGCCAATCAGAGAGATGGGAATTATTCAATCATATAATAATATTCTTTATCTCTTGCAGTTCCAATACGATGCTACATGTGCATATCAAGACTAGATAAAAACGACACGTGCAACGATCCCATTGACGGCAAAACTAAGAACAACCTCCCAGACGAGGAATGTCTAAGCGGGGTCTGTGTCAAATGGACAAGATACATCAACAGTAAGTACATTTCCAGGAGTTAAAATGTGACGGAAACTGTTCAATAATGAATTTATTTTATTTACTTCAAATGTATATGCGACAGCAATAGGACATCTAAATTCTAGACGAAACATTTACAGTATACTGCAAATTTAAAGCAAGAAGTGTTGAATATGTCTCACACACCATTCCTCTTTATTCGTGTTTCTTTAATAATAAAAATGAAATGCTTTGTATCGGAATTTGCCAAATTTATTGACTTTTATCTAAATTCGTTTTTATTTTTTATTTGATTTAATTTACTAATGTATGTCAAAGGCCCGTAGAACAGGGGGTGGGTTGGATGAGGTAGGGGTGTGTGCTCATTTCTAGAGCCTATTTTCCGGGGGGGGGGGGTCCACTTTAGAGCCAGTTCTCCGGGAGGGGGGTTATAAAGGGGAATACCTACTCTCCGGTATATCCAAACTGGACAGCATTTTATAACGTACGACATGCATCTAAACTTATGTCTAGTGGTTCTTCGCCATTAATGACTCTTACATTTTGAAATGTTGATTAAATACGGAATAACGAACAGTATCCACGCTTAAAAGTCCATTCAAACAATACATATCAGGAGCAGATCAAACACGGACCTCTAAAACATCAGAGGTGGAATCTGGTGCCATGGAGGAGTGAGTATCCCCTGCCGGCTTGTCACATCTGCCGTGTGCTCCTTGTCATGATCGGGTAAAAATTATTATCATTGGGGTCACCATCGACGATCAGTAAATAAATCAGAGAATGATATGAATAAATTATTTTTGAAAGGATCTTAAATGTACCTTAATGCTAATATCATAAATTTTCTATTTTAAGAAATTAGTCTTTAAACTGGATGTTCAAGACAATACTTACAGACCCGAGGCAATCATCAGTGTATTCAAACAAGACCCATATAATTATATGGTATAAATAGGTATATAAAAGGACAGACTTTGAAATGAAAGATGCAAGATTTTTTTAGTCCAATTTTGGCCCCCGAAGGAATACTGAATATACATATTGTATCTATGGACGAGTAACCGGAAAATGCATTAATGCATATCAAGGAACAAAAGAGATTTTATTGGTATTCATATACATCTCAAAATAAATTCAAATTCTTCAGTTACGGTAGGTTATGAAGGAATCTAGCAAGTGATTTTAGGATGTCATGGTCTTCATTAGTCATGAGCCAATGAAATTGATTATCGTAAGATAGAGACTGAAAATTTTTACATTTAATATTACAATATTTATGAGTTCAAATCTTTGTACACTAAAATGAGGACATACAAGGAGAAAATGAATTTCATCCTGAACCTCTTGGTGATCACAAAGGGAACAAATTCATTCATCTTTAGGTATTTTTTGATATCGTCCAATGCCAATTTTAAGCCTGTGCACCGATATTCGTAACCTTGCTATGACTGATCTATGTTGATTGTTTGTTAAAATATAAGTTAGGGTTCAAAATATTAGTTAGTCTTTAGGCAGGAGAAGGTAGATAATTTATCATCTTTATGTAAATTTTTTGAAATATATTTTACGTTATATACGTTGTCCGTGAGGTAAATTACACGTGTAGATATCCAATTTTCTGTTATTGCCTTATCCATGTCCTCTCCTGGGTATAGTATATACCGACTTGCTTATACCGATATTCCTACGATTTCTGAATTTTTTCCAGAGTAATTTATTTTACCAGAAAAAGTATTCATCATTACAACCAAGGGGAATATTTGAATTCGTTCCAAAATTCCTTGTCTTGGTAGCTAGTCTAATCACCAGGCCGATATTGTTACAGTCCTATGAGACTTGAAAAATAGATTTCTGAAAATTCCTGTGTCTCGTTTAAAATTAGGAATCCATGATGTAAGTTTGAGAACATTTTAAGCTTTAAATCATCCATTTGAATTGAATACTCCATTTTAAACTGTTAATCATTAATTTTGAAAGCATAGTAATGCACTTCAATTTAATAATGTAAACATTTGACATATTTGTTCACTTAACTTTTGAATATTAAAATCGAATATTATTTACACTGACTTTTTAAAAACATCAAGAAACGATACCTTAGTGTCGGTTCTAACTCTTTATTTTTTATATAAAAATCTGCAACCTGACTATTTTTTCAAGATTTTCATTAGACATAATATGTCAGAAAGGACACTTAACAGGGCTGAACTATATGCTATTAAACATTGCAAGTATCTTTAATTATATTTTCTTTGAGTAAAATTTAATTTGTTTTATACTTTTGAAAGGTAAATTATATCTGGAAAGAACCTGCTCAGCAAAGATGGACATGAACATTATGCTGATAGACGGTGTGTGTCGTACAGAGAGCTTCGGGAACGGATACCTCTGCATGTGCGGACGGAACCTCTGTAACTCTGGCATTTCTCAACTCAAATTCACTCAGGCGCATGTGGTTTCTCTTACTCTTTGTCTGCTGTTCACATTTTTCTGGTTACCATAGAAACAATGACGCCACTTGCGTGTTTGTACAATTGATTGTTTATGTGGTGTATATTTGGCATGGAGGTATGCAAGAAAATGAAGAGTCCCTTGATACAAGTTAAGGCCGCTACTAGGGCGACCCTGTCTTGTGTTCCTATTTTCCGATTAATGATTCATGTCTGGGAAATTAATATACGCTATTATTTTGCTATGTATATGTTCAATCAACGAAAAATGCCAAAACATTTGGAAATGAATCAGTATTTAGTTACTAAGCCTCTTTCCAGTTCAACATGACAATCAAATGAAATGCTACAGATTGCACTTCAACAAAGCTCTACAGAAGAGGTCTTCAAAAAAAAAAAACAAAACGAAACATTACTAGTATTTCAAATTCCTAAAGATTTTTGCAAAAGTAAAAAATAGTATTCAGTCTCTGATTATGCCGTCTAAAAATAGAATTAAAGGTACTGATAAGAGTTGTTGCATGTGTGTAGATGTGTTTAAAAAAAATGGTAACGTAAACCTGTTACTATGGTTACATGAAAAACGAATTAATGCTTACATGTTAAAACCATTATCGGGTCTGTCGACTCCATAAAATGGCAGTAGTAAGCATTGGAAATCTAGATAAGCTCTATCCATACCTAATGACTATGCAATCAAGAATTGTGATCTGACTGTTGTCTATTTTTGTGCAGTACATTCAACTTTTTTTTCTTTTTTTCCAAACGTATGTGTATTTTTTTTTCTCGTCTTGATTTGAGTTATCTGATTTGATAAAAACTAAGTTTTTTTTTCTTGTAGTGGAATTGTGGATTTTTTCTTTATGCTGTGTAGAATATTTTTTTCGGGAAATGGTTTTAATTACGCATTATAAATTTTAACGATTTATTTCACAGTGTTTTTTTAATGCATATACTTGTACAACCAAATGTTTCGTCTTGAATCTTGAATATATATATATATATATATATATATATATATATATATATATATATATATATATATATATATATATATATATATATATATGTTACTTTCTTTAAGGTATTCAATGATCTAAGGTAATTGAATAATAATAGATATGTACGGGCTGAACAAGCTGCGTATTCAGACACAATTCAATTTGTTACTATCATTATATATATAAGAGCTGAAAGTGCCCTAATTTATGACATTGACCTGTGCTCGAAGAGTTATTTCTCTCTGTGTTTAACCTAATAAAAATCAGTTTTAAAAATATTATCCGTTAGAGAATCATTTTTAATCATTATTCTGTTACTAAATATAAAGTGCATCTTTCCACAGCAGCATTTTTTAATATTCTTAGTATCTGATTTTTTTTTTTAAATTTGCTTGTCTCCATAGGCCTCAATACAGTCTTCTTTTGATTGCTTAAGGTAATTGCATTTTAGAGAATTCTCTTGGTAAATCCTTTTCTACTCTAGAATGTTTAAATAAATTTAAGAGTAATTTATAAGTGATGAATATTAAAGGGTAGAGAATAAGGTTCTATTAGGGCTGGAATACCTTAAAATTTTTGTTTCCTACTCATTATCGCTAAAGTTCATCAGAACTTTACGATTGTCGTAAAAAAATCCAACTGGTACAGCAGATATAAAAACGACCATCTTATGTTAGGTTTCTTACGCCGTAGCAATCGATATTTCATTCAGAACGTTACTCCACCGACGAAAGTGCTTTATGGTGTAGCAAAGACCCCATTGTCTAGTGCTTTTTTCTTGGAGTTATTACTGAAAAAAAAAAAAATCACATTTGTGACAGTAATTGGTCAGAATCAGATTATTATACAGTTTATGGGAGCATACTGGCATGTTAGTATATATACCGGACATTGAAGAATGTTTCCCAGTTTAAATAATATAATTCAGTGGTTAAGAGGGAGTTATTGTCATCCAAAGTAAAGAAAATTTGTTAGTTGTTTCAAGTAGTATTTTCCCCATTCAAATCTCCACTTCAATATTTGCATGACGTTAATATTTACGTATCGAACAAGATATTGTCAGAACATGTAGTGTCTGTAATCCAATTTTTAGTGGAGTGTTATAGAAGAGTAGATAGCAAGCCGATTAGCTATGGTGTATACATTTTACATACTTATTTGTGTATTTTTATTGCACAGTATATATGATATGATTTACATGCACATTCATTTAAGTTAAAACTCAACCATCGATTGTCAAAACCATATTTTGTTTTCTATCACTTGTTATTGTAAATACTTTATATGTTATGACTCACTTTGTTGATTTGTCTTCCGATATTTGATAGAATTCCAGTTTTTCATGTGTTAACATTTTTATTCATAATAAAATTCACCGAACACTCTTTTAGATGGGTTTGTTTTCATTCACTTCAGGAGCGACAACTCAAACATTGTAAAAGACAGGTCAGAAGCTGCTGTGAAGAAATGGTTGTACAAATATGAATGAAAAGCATATACTAAAATCGTTAGTTTGATATTTTCATCGCGTCATTTGATACAATCATGTACTTGAGAAAACACTTGACTTTCTAATGAACACTAATATTAGATGTTTGATCCGGTAACGTAGTTTGTGTAGAGACTGACATGGTCGTAAAGATCTACAAAGAAGATGGTAATGCTTTGCGATCGGTATCAAAAAAAAAAAAAAAAAAAAAAAAAAAAAATCGAGCTTAACATGGGTTTATGGGGTTTTGTGGTTAATGAAATAAAATCGACACAGTTAATCGAATTTTTTGGAACATCTTAATAAGCACAGTGCATTTCCTTAGGTGGCAGGGGACAGTTTTTTAATTTTTAGTGTATGCCAAACATATGACGAGGAGGTAGGCATATATACATGAGGTTAATAAAAACATATGTTGGGACAGTTTTTTTTTTTGGGGGGGGGGGGGTGCAAATTAATTACACATCATATATCCATAGCTCAAAATATATGTCAACATATAGCATATGACGTAATCTACCTATTACAGTGCATGTGTGCAAAAAATGCACTTTGGGCCCTCCCCAGATTTTGGCTTGTTTTTCCAAGATTTGGACCTCATCCGAACCCATGCAGCCCATCCCAGTCCCGAGAGAGGGGGTGAAACTCCCAATACTGTGTAGATCAATAAATGCACTAATGAAAATTCACCAATTGATCTGGGTCCATTCACCTTCCCTCTGAGATGCAGACCTTCTTCTTAGGCCTACTGCTTTCCAGCTTAATTTCCTCGACAACTGCATGGCAGCATGTCTTAGTTTCGAATTTACAGCTCTGTATATGCTACAAAGCATCATAGTGATCAACCTATAGTGACCTACATGTTGGATGTCATTTTTCTCAACCAACATTCTGCTACACTGCACATGAATCCCATAATTATTCTATTCATTTTTCTACATAAAATATCGCATCAAACAGGGGATATCTCAGTTTTTAAAGAAATTTGACCTAGCGCTGCAATATCTGATTGTTCACTATTTCATTTATAGATCTGTGCTTTTACAAAGAGTTTGTGAGAAAATTCTAAAATTTACATTATTGATAGGTTCCACTTACCGTTTTGTGAGTATTTAAATCGAGTAGTTCTTGAAAGGGAAAAAAAGAGTTCTAAATAGCTAAAGCCAAAAAGCACAATACAAGAAACACTGCTCTTGCATGTTAGTGTGTCTCCTCGACCCCAGCGGTGTAATATATGTATATACTCTTAGAGTTTTGCAAAATTTTAAATTTTTAGAAATTGACTCGTTTTTAGTTCTATGGCAACTGAAGCTATTTTGGATATTTAATCCCCCAAAACTTTGAGAGACAAACATCAATATAATGTACACTGTACATACAATTAAGAAACTAGATGTGTCGTAAAGCCACGAATGCCCCCACAGGCAGTCAAAATTTCAAATTGCAAATTGTAAATTGCACATTTGTAGCCGCCGAGATAATAATCAGAAATTGTGAATCGTTTCCAAGTTCAATGGGGATAACTGTCAAAAATTATCGGACCAGGACCAAATTCGAACTTGACCTGTACTTTCTGGTAAAATACCTGCATGTGAAATTTCAACCTTATACATACATCCCTACAAAAGTAAGAGAGCGAAAACTAAAAATTTTGTTACTTTTTTCCTAAGTTCAAGAGGGATAACTCTGTCAAAAATCATCAGACCACGACCAAATTCGAAGTTGACCTGTATTTTCTATTAAAATACCTGCATATGCAATTTAAACCTTATATATACATCCCTACAAAAGTTAAAGAGCGGAAATTGAAAATTTCTTTTTTTTTTCTAAGTTCAAGAGGGATACCTAACTCTGTCAAAAATCATCGGACCATAACCAAATTTGCACTTGGCCTGCGTATTCCTATGACATATCCATATGAATGTTTGCAACTGTTGCCGAGATAATGAACGAATTTCGTCATTGACAGAATGACGGAACAGGGTAATACTATATGCCCCGGCCATTTTATGGCGGGGCATATAAAATCCATTGAAAATAAAATTCCCCCTTTTGTTTCCATCAGGTTACAGTTTAAAATGTGCCCACCAATTACATTGTGCTATTTTTGTAAAAGTAGAAACAATGTGGACCAGATGCAAAAAATAAGACTTAAGGCCAGACGACACGTTCCTCGAATATCTGTTTTTGCATTCCTTTGTAATATACGAAAAATATAATATATAATTATCATTATATTTTGATTTCTAAACTATTTTTAAAATGTCTGAAAAACCCATATAGAAAACAAAAGATCATGATATCAGCAGTTCAAGCAATTTCTAGTATAGGATTATATAGGAAATACCATCCTCCGGAATCTTGCACAAATGCCTGGTAATGTACCCAAATTTTTTGTGAGGAAATTTCTTAAATTAGTAATATTTCAATCACAAAATCTTGGGAAAAGTTATTTATTTTTGAAGAACGCGTCGTCTGACCTTAATGATAAGTATTGGTTGGACATTTAATGAGAAAAATCTGATTTAACATTTTCAATTTTCATACTTCGTATCTCAATGGAACTGGTCGCCATTTTGAAAATTTTAGATGTTGAAGGCACAACTATACTTTTTGTTTGTTTATATTTTTTGGGAAGCTTTATTAAGATTGTCTACTGAAGATCATGTGTGGGAAAATCATAGAAGTGTCGCCCTTCCCCCCCCCCCCCAACCCCATATACATGTAAGTAGAGACATATTTTATTGGAGGGAAATTGGCTCTGGTGGAAGTCGCACAGAGTAGAATCTCCCCCCGGTAAATTGAATCTGGGGTAGGATTTCCGTAGGGGAAACCGTACTCTAGTGTCATTTTCCCGTGGGGGAATTCCTACACTTAGACCCTACGGGTAACACCCGTTTTGTATTCTATGCAAA